CAAAAATGCAATATATGTATATGCCAGTTTAGGTGTCCAATTAACACAAATTTCTCAAATTCATTATCTAACCATGTTAACCTGCTATTTTGTAATTTACTCGAAAAATTCTATTCAGAATTTGTGCAAAATTCTGCAAACCTTCGCATGACATCTGGTTAGCTGACACACAATTATAATTAATAAAAACAAAGGATGCATTTTTCAGTTCCGGTTTTTTTACAATCGTTTAAAATCCAACCCTGTACTGTAATTATCTATTCCATTCGATTAAATGTTAACTTTTGCCAACAACTTATTGAGCTCCATGTCACGCCCCAGAAAGATGCTAATAATAATTAAAATTTTGCCATACCACGGGGTTTTCAACCCTATCGCGAGTCCCAATCTCATTATTTTTCAATTTAATTCCGACCCGATGGATGACAGCTTTCTTTCCTTTATGCGTGTTGAATGGTGATCACGTTGGATGGAATATGGCACAAAGATGATGGTGGGATTTTCTGCAACAAACAACAACTTTATTGTTTCAAAGAACAATTTAAATTTTATAGCAAATTATCTTTGGCGATGATGATACATCTGACAAAAGTAAGTAGAGAAAAAAAATCGAGTCCTCATAAATTTTACGACTTGATCTTTACCCAACACAACTTTACAAGCTACCACCAAGAAGACGCACCTTTTTTGTCTTGTACATAGTCCTCCTCCGTGTTACTGTTTTGCTTTTTACTGTGCCACAAAGTCATTCATTCTTGATGGCATACACACTTTTTCCCTTAAAACTTCTTCAACCATTAGTCGCAAAGCAGGAGGTAATACGTTTCGAAGTAAATGCTACTCAGCCAGGACAAAAATCAACTAGCGAACGAGGTAGGCCAAACGGGAGACCGGTCAGCTAATTTTTCATTTCGCAGCAGCACACATCAAGTAAAACCAAGCCTTTGTCTCAATCTGGCATTTTCGTAGCATATCTGCCGAGGTGTCACGTTTGTCATAATGATAAGCTCGAATTCTTGTTAGTCTTAATCTAACACATGTAATAATGTAGCAAAACAAAACAATGCGCAAAGTTCATCCCCATCATTTTACGCCCTTCATATTTATTCATAGGCTTCGGTCTCCTCAGTCAAGAACCGTTAATTGCGCTTCACTCTTTATTTCCATGTCAATGATTATTATTTCATGTAATGGGCAGGTTTCGTTCGCATAAAGTCAGGCGAAAGGCTGGTCTTGAAATTTGTCTAAAATTAAAAATAATGTGGAATGACAGTTGCATGAGGTATTCTTGCGTGTATGGAAATTAAGGATGCACATATACAGATACGTACGTAATGTACGTATGCATGCCTAATAGTGCGAAGGATATTAAGAAGGCTCGGTCAAAGCCGGTGATTTATCAACCAAGTTAAGAAAGCTGGTCGTATTTTCTGCAGTCTTATTGCAACCCTGGATTTAAAACACTATTCATTTGCATAATCTGTTGTACTCGTAATTTTTATGGGATACATACATAAGATAATGGTGAATAAACATGTTTTGTCTACATGCATGCAATCTTCTACACAGCGCAGAAAGACGACGTCGGTCGGTCGGTCGTCAGAGTAGTGTCCTTTTCTTTCAGCTATTGCTAAGTGTTTCTCAGTTTGACAAGCATGTCGCCTCCATTTTAATGTTATCTTATTCAAATTGACGTGAATTAATTTCCAAAGACAACTGTTCCGCAATTACATTGAACGAGTGTCGGATACCAGAAAGTAGGCAAGATTACATGTGATTTATGACTTGGGAGTGAAGCAGAGGCAGAAAACTTGCAAAATCGTTTAGCCCGGATTCTCATTCTTATTTATGAGAAAAGTCTTAGCTGCCGGACTGTTCAAGATGATCGTCCAATGTGGATGATGCCTAATAAAGAATGCGAAATAAATAAGTGAGTGATAACAGAATTAACCACACTCGCGTATTTACTGTAGCATGAAAACGAGAAAAAAAGAGTAACTGAAGCAGGACAACCATGAATGAACAGTTTATAAAACCAGTATAATTCTTCATCTCCATCCAATTCACTCCGAGTTGGATTATACTACACCTCACAATTCGAAGATCATACACATCTAATCCAAACATGTGTCACAACAAATCCATTTTTGCGATTCACATTCGTGTCAAATCAATTATTTTTTGGATATTTGTGGTCCGTCGAGTATAAACGAGGGACATGACAGTGGATTTGTTCCTATTTTTGGCCAAGTTCCACCATTCATGTGTGTATATACACTGCTGCTCGAAACCTATTTGGGCAAGTTGTGGTTTTTTGTTGCGTTTCTAATTGTTCTTTCTCAGCTATTTTTGTTCTTAAGCGTGATGTCGCCTTGTACTGTGCATGGGGAGATCAAAGGCTTTGATGCTGTATTTTTCTAGCCTGAAAGCAGGGAGCTTATAGAATTATCATGTATCTCTGTCCGAAATACTTTCTGTTTAAATCCAACAGATCGATTTCATATGTGTAAGTACATACCGAATTAGGAGTTATTTTCCCAGATTTTCGAAAACCAGAAAAATGAATTGATCAAAATTCTCGAAATGTTAGTATTTACTAGGGATCCACCAAGTACCGGTTTCTCGCAAGCAAAATTTGGTGCAAAAGGGTCGAATAATTCAATGAGATGCATGCAATTACATCCTACGATGCATAGTAAATCCTATGTATCAAGCTCTAACCACACGTTTTTAGCCAAGCGAGCGGGGAAAGAGAGACAGCTCACTTAATTTGCATCAAGTCATTCCATAATCGATTCTGTCTTGGAACAAGAGTAATTACAATTCTCAATATTTACATCCAGTCTGATTTTCCACATTGCAATGCGTATCTACTTATTCACGTGGTTTAGAAATAAGATCTAAATTTGGTTCGAGTGGTAAGTGCAAGAATCGAAATGAAATGTTGCCGGCACGGGGTCATAAATAAAAGCTAATTGAACAATGCACCTGACAAGAAAGAATTTTATGTCGACTTCCCACAGACCGTGCTGCATTCATCTTGCACCAACTAACTAACCCGTCTATTTATTCACTAATAACTCCAACCTGGACACACCACGGGTATTGCACTGATAAAAAAGAATTGTATTATTATTATTATTATTACATTCGAATTTCCACCTGACTCATAACTGCACTTGTGCAATCACTGTCATTCTTCCTGTCGTACACACACACACATTTTACTTTAGCATTCTTTTTTAAGCGATGCTGCACTTCATATTTTTTCACTCAAATCAACATCAATTCCAACAATGAGCATTGTTCGGGCATACATTTGTGTGGGTCTACGGGACGGTTGCTTTGCCACTTTTACTGATGACGATCACAAAATTTTACATTTTCAGGAGAAATAAAATATTTTTTTGTATCGATTACTGTTCAACATATGCATTAAATATGTACCTACATACACACCTACATTAACCACTAGGTAAACAACAAGGCTTTGTGTTTGGTAGGAAATTTTACTGCAAAAAATTAAGATGCCGAGGAGATACTGTCAAAAAGCATGATTGCCAGAATGCTATCTCATCCAACCGTGTACGTGTAAATGATCCAATCAATCCGTCATTATTATGCGAAAAAATTGGCGAATCCTGTTCCACTCCACCCTTGAGAACAGAACAACCGTACACACCAATACGTCGAATGATTTATTTCTTATTAGTCATATTCGCAAACAATCGATGACTAGATAAATATGTTTTATTTGCTCGTGCAGAAAGAAGAACAGGATGATAATACTTAATAACTACTCGATTACGTCTAATGAGGAGTCTCTGAGTAAATTGAGGTGCAAGGCAGGCCTTATTTATCTGGTTTTTCAGATCTAATCGCAAAGTAATAATCGACGGTAATAATACTTGATATCGGACTCTTGCTCGTGTTTTCGCCATGTCGAAACTGCCAATAGTTTGTTTTGTCTAACCAGTAATGGGCTGACTGGACGGCGAAGTATGAAGTCGTAAGGTCAGGTGGCACGCTATATTTTAAAAATGCATAATCACAATATTCCCATTAAACACTACAATTTTGCTCCACTGCGATAAATTTCAGGGCAATAAATCACTAAAAAAGATAGTTTACGTTTTTAAGAAATGTTTTAAAAAGGTATCCAGAGACTAGACATGTAACGGGTCTTTGTCTTCTTAAGTACGGATATTCGTCATCTCTACGTGTATAAAAAATGACCCGCTTTTGTTTACCTTGTGCCTGACATTACGTATGACGAACGAATGTTTGCAATGGTGACTGAGTAATTTCAGCCTCATTATTATTCTGCGGAAGCTGTTTAATTCAAAACGCATCTGTGTTTGATTTTAGTCTGCCTGCCTCGTTCATTTTTCGATATTATACATGCGAACATGAATAAATGGATATTATGTTTAAAATGAGAACCCGGAATCGGCCTGAGGTTGCATGGACTTTCTGTTAAATAAATTCATGCTAAATTTGGCTCCAACCATACTAACCACTTCAATTTAAAAGTAAACTGCCAACCTGCCTACCGGATGACTCTACTATTTCCAAATATGATTTATGAATCAACATGAAAAAATGAACGTTAGTTAGCCATCTCAAAATTGCAATGTTTACTTAGGCACCAGCACCAGCAGCAGGAGCAGAAAAACGGCATGAGAAGCGTTCGGTGTGGGATACATTGAATCATTCATCTTTTGGAGGATACTACGAGTAGGAGTGTAAAACTTTGACATGTTCTCGGTGTTCTTGGTAAAACTTGCCGTTTTTTGCGACATTTTTCTAAAATCAACTGCAATTTGTCGTGAATACATTTAGTATTCTGTGAATGTGTCATTCATTGCGATATAAAAATCGCACTAGCAGCAACAACTGTCGAGCGAGTGTGACAAGTGACAAGTGGAGTGAAAAGATAAACCCTACGAGTAATTCATCATTATATGTATTTACGAGTTTGATGTCTTGTTTTCTTCCAGTTGGACAACATCCAGGCCTGTCTCGTCTTCCTGACAAATTTGGGCGTGTCACTCGAGGGGATTAATTCCCATGATATTCGGGACGGTCACCTCAAGTCGATCCTCTCCTTATTCTTCCAACTCTCGAGGTTCAAGCAGCAACAAAAGCAACAGGATCGAGACCGACATAATCTGCAACGGCACAACGGAGACTTTAATAACGCTTCTTCTTCTTCCATGATGCAGGCATCGGGTATTAGAAATCCGTCCAGCGTTGCCAAAGATGTGTCCAAGTAAGTCCTCAATTTCATATATCTTTTATATTTTTATGTACGAATAAAAAAAAAGTACGTTATTCATTGTGAGATTTCGGAACGATAAGATGAGACGGATTGTGAGACGAGACGTAAACATTGTTATGAAAATAGTAAGCTTCGAGTTGAAGAACCTTCGAGGTCGACATCTCACACGGAAAGTGAAACCAACGCAAGGGGAGAACAGATCGGACAGCTTAGCTTCCACCCTCGAGATGTCCTTCGCATCTCGAGGGTGGATTTCGAATTCAAAAACCAACTTCAACTCCACTTTGCTCCTTAGTTCAGCAACTGGTTCTCCTTTGTGTATTGTGGCGTTGAGAAGTTTCTCAACTTGTCAACTTGTGAGCGTTTCCTTCTCCCAAGTTTCTTCACATTTGTGCCTTGGTCATCTTATTCAGCAAAATATCTCATTTCGAATTAACTCCACTTAATAGAATAATCCATTTTTCATCATCTTTTCAAGTTTATTATCAAAATCTTCCCTCGAGAATAGAGTCGCGTACCGCATTCATCATTATTATTAGCTGCCACATCGAACCTAAGCAGACAGGACGACGTAGGGGAGACGAAACATAATATGGTTTATGTAAGTGGTATACGGCGAAACGGGTGCAATTCAACCTGAAGTAGATTTACTTGGAGGGACAAGATTACGGAGTGCTAGGTTCGTTCGATTGTCAGTTTATTTTATGTTTGTTTTATGGCGAGAGAATTCCCAGTGGTCCAGCGTCCTCTTTCCAAAATCCCCCAGCAAATCTACCCTGCACAGCGATACGAAATGACCACTAGGAACGAATCCGAGCTGCTGATGATGACGAAATATATTTGCTGTACGAACTGAATACGACTGACTGACTACGCAATCACTTTTCTTCTTCCTTTCTCCCTTTTGACTCGTCCCATTGTTGCGCTGGAATAAAGTGGTGGCCTTCTTCTTCTATGATCCCACACGCCAAGGAAAAAAACTACAACTTTTACATTACGGGGATTTTCAAGGATTCAATAAATGAAAAATACAACGTGGATTTCCTTCCTGTTCTTTTTCCAGCCCTAATTTTTTCAGATTGGATTGGATCCTTAAACTTCTGCAAGTTCTGATCTTCTCCTCCTCTTTTTCCGGAAACTTGCAATGCATTCTGCACATTTACATCATTTCCGGATTGGGAAGAAAGTGCAGCAGCAAATAATGCCGAGTGCAGCAGAATGGTGACCGTGAGATGCTGATGGTCCTCGTATATAAATTACGAGTCGAGATAGATGCACAAAGAAATCAATGCATTTTAGATGAGTCAGATAATTTAAGAATGCCGAACAATTGGTCCGCCGCTCCTCTCGAAAAGAATGCCTGGAAAAGAAAAAGAGGACAAGGAAGAATCCGAGAATTGAGTTTCTTTCCGAAACAATTCTTCCACGAGAACAATGAAACCCAACAACAAACGTGTAGAAAGAACTTAAGTTTTTCCATTCTTTTTTCCATCCTGAACTTGAATTACTCTTTCTGTCGTCTCCAAGTTCCATGTGACTTTGAAAGAACGTAGATGTTCGCACTTGACTCGTAAATCTTATTTTCTTCATTTCCGGTCGCTGACTTTCTCATTCGGAATAGCTCAAGTTTGATTAAACAAAAGAACATGCGTTCGTGTTCTTTTATCCTCCAGGGATACACACACAGGACCAAATTAAAGTGGAACAAAAGGGAAAAAGTAAAAGTTATGCCCAAAAGGAGAAAAGCAAAAGACCACGTTTTCCTTACCATTTAAATCCCGCCTAAACAAAGATTCACGCCGTTTACACTAATTACATATTAATAACAACAAAACGTAGCTTGTTTTCATGTCGATAGTCATGTTTTCACGCGGTTTATAGATTTTCATGAATGAATGAATATCGATGAATTAAATATTTATGTCCAGTTCATGACAGATTTAAGACGAAATAATAATAATCCGCCCCAGTTGTAAATCTTACAAGTCTTACCACTCTTCTTAAGTTCTTAATCTGTGCAGACATTATTTATTGTGTGCGCGATAACACAGCTCAGAAATTGTTATTACACATCAAACATTTGTTTAGTTTGTATCAGATATAAACACTCAAGTTTCAAAGAGAAGTTGTGGATCGTGAGAGATTTTCGAAGGGGAATAAATGTGCTCTTCTTTCGAAGAATGGGGATACATACACGAAATAAGGCCATAAGTGTGACTGTATGTATGTGGTATCCATCCATCCATTATTACGTCCATTACATCATTCATTGAATAGTCATCTCAGGCGGGGATTGGACAACTCATATGCACCACATTCGTACATATGTGCACAATTGCTGCCTCGGCCACAAATGGTAAAGTAGTCTAACCTCAGGATGGACCGTGTAACATGAGGTCGAGGGAGAGTGTCAGACCAAAATGTGATGCGATGCTTTCCAGAAACGATCACCCTCACTCTCGATAATACCAAAGCAACTCTGGCAAAGTAGTAAAGTCCATATTAAGTGCATACGTAAGGACACCACGCACGCATACGGTAGACGACTCCATTCTACGCTCTCCAAAAGGTCCAGTCCTTTAAATACAAGTGTAAATGCCACATTAATCTCTGAGCTGCTACTTTTACCCACGCCACACAAGTATTTACCTTTGGCAGGGTCTTAATCTTGGAAAGCTGAGGTTTTCCAGTGTGAACAAGCAACACGTCGTGTCAAGTTGACCAACATTTTTTTTGGTAATAAGAAGTGATAACAGTATTCCTGCTCCTGTTTAGTTTTGTGGTTAGTTGAGACTGAGTTCATTCTGGGGAAACTGTGACAAGACCGAGAGAAATTATAATTTTTGGTGAAATTACCAAAAGTGACGTGAATGTGAAACTTGACCCTTAAAAGAAAGGTGTAATTTCGGATTAGATACCAATTTCACTGGATTTTTTTTCCTCTGCCCTTTTCAGATTGCCCTCCTCCTCCTTCGGGCTAAAACCCCACCAAACGACGAGTATACCTTTGCCCTCCTCCCATGGACAATCATCCTCCCCCTACGCCCCACCACCACAGCAACCACACTCATCAAACGCTCCTGCCACCTCTTCTGCCCTCTCGAACGGGAAGAAACCTTCCGGAGGGGAAAAGGGGAAAGCTGTTCCTCTAACCGTTCAACATCATCACATCTACTCAAACCCGGCAGGTACGTACAATCTAAAAATTCAGTTTTATTTTGCTCAACTTGTCACAAAGTGACAAGCACCCACACACTTCCGGCAACTGCTTCTCTCTGGTAAAACAACAACTCAGAAATTTTAATCATTTTAATTGGACTAGTCCAAAATGTATGCCAGTCAGTGACATGACATGATCCTATACAATCTCAATCTCTAAAACAAACTTGGTTGGATATGTGATGACTCATTTGTTAGCTTCTCTCTCTCTCAAGATTGATTTTTGCCAGCAGTGTCAAATATCTTTTTGTAAAGTCACTGATATAAAGAAATCTTATCGTCGTGGTGTCACTCCACTTGTGAAATGGTTATATCTTCATCCGTCTTCCATAACCTAAATGTATGCATCCACACATCTTGTTCCTATGCCCTCCTCCACGAAATCTGCACTTTTTGGGCTCACATTGGAATCTCCAGTTTACTTTGGTATGTTTTATTTAAACCCAAAAAACTGAAACCGTACCCGGAGTTTGTCTTGTACAACACTTGACTTGAAGGAATGCATTTCATTTGTACATTTAGACAACCACAAGTAGTTAATCTCCCCGGTTTTACTGACTCGGAAAAATAAAAGTTGCAATTAGCAGAGTGTGCATTTCGTATGTACAGAATATATTTACTTGCACTGCATTTGTGGCCCTTTTTTCAAACAACTCTGCTGACTATGAGTGCTTGTAAACGCACTGTTTGGTGGATTGGATTGGGTATCGGTTTTCACTACTTCACTACTTTTACGACGAGAAACAGTTCAAGTCAGAGACAAAATTTCAATTCATCCAGTCAGTCGGTTGGTGTTTGGTTGGTGGCGTGATTGTAAAAATCAGGCCCAATCCATAACGTTATTTTTAGTCAATTATTATTTAATGGCACATTTAAAATTACGATTATTACCGAGACAATAATACATCAGGTTAAGTGCTCAGAGATAATTTTGTGGTTCACTGGAACTGCTTTCGAAATGAGTTTCAGAGTAGTTTATTAATGGAAATATCGGATATTTCCGTATTTAATGTGACCTCCCACCTGCCAAGAAGAGTGTGTGAAAACTGCGTGTCCCGTCATTATTATTATTGCATAGGCACAAAAGTGTTAGAGAGCGTCGGTTCCATGAAAAAAAGTCGGGGTCCCGTATTTTTTATGCATATGGCGTGTGAGTGAGAAAAAGATGTGTATAATTTATGTTTTGGTTTGTGATGCCTTCCCGATTGAATAAATGTTTGGTCTCGAAATGGCTTCTCTCAACGGATGAATTATTGATGATAAAAGTGTGGAGTGAGTGAATAATACCGACGGACGAAGAACAGCAGCAGCCTCAGGTAATTTCAGCCAAGAAAATGTTAAGATTTATAAACAATGCACTTATTCCTCTCTGTCTGACAAGGGACACTCACGACCTGTCGTTTGAGTCCAGGGTACCCACTATGTTTTTTAGAATCTACTAGGACCCCAGATGAAGGATTCATTCATATTTCCGTGTAAAACTCATATTTGGCGCAGTGTCTGTCACTCTCCTCTCATTCATCATCACGCAGTTTGAGAGATGCACATTATTATTAGCGTGCTTGTCGGTAGTGGGCTGCATATTTACTTCTAAAGAGTAGTTTGCCACTTATGATAATTGCTGTCTTACACGAAGCCACGTTTGCCTCCATGAAAGGAAATATTGGGATGACCACGAACCAGTAAATGCAGGTTAATTGAGGAGCATCATAAAATAAATCAATTTCTCTTTCCCGTGATTGAATTCAATTGACTCCATCCCGTTTAATTCTTCGACAAGGCACACACACCGGTGTGGAAGAATTAAAAGGAGAACAACGGCACAAAATAGCGCCGACTTTCCCAATATTCCTCCATGGTGTAGACTTTTTCATTATAAAAAGCTCTCTGTCACGCCCGGTAGGATTTATCAAATCTACGTACCTCCGACCACGTCCTCCTCTCATTCACCAGGCACGCACAGCATAACAAACTAATGAACTCAACCGCTTGTGCTCTCTTTTTAAAAGAGGAACAATACATACGAATAATCCACTCGTAACATTATGTTGGTGGTTGTACGCGTGTGTGTTTTTAAGGGTCTGACAATGTCTCTACTAAACTTTTGTCAATCAAGAGAGGACAATCTTAAATTTTTTTAAATCACTTTTTTAACCATATTTTCCCAGATTTTAACTACCATATCCAAAACCTTAACAAACATCAACCATGTTCTCATCAACAACAATTTGATTTTACACACATGCGAGCACGCACACCTAAAAGTTACTTGAACGTACTTCTTGTTGTGGTCGCTTTCATTTGTTACAAGCAATTTTCCATCCACAATTTTTTCCTCTTTCGCCTTCCACCTCGACAATAATGTAGAAAGTGGCGGATTATTAGTGCATAGAGGAAAATATTTCATGTAGGTGTAGGTGCATTATAAAGTTTCTGTAGTTCACTTGCTTGCTTGCATGAGTTGGCGTTGACATTTGGCTTCGTTTTCATGATTGGACACATAGGGTTGGATCCGACACGCGATGATTTCTTAGGCGATATGTTTATAAGGAGATTGAGTAGACGAAGGGGTTGTGATGTTGGTCGTGTTACAAGCTAAGACTAATTTGATCAACACAACCTTTAATGCCAAACTCGATCCGCCTTGTTTCTCGTCGAGGCTACAACATGTCGACTTGTATGAAGTGCCTTGTATGAAGGTACGAATTGAAAGAATTTCTAAATAACTGACAAGATTTATGATGCCGATGTCTGTCAAGTGTTGCATGAAAGTTATTCTCTTCTCTCTGGACTCGGGCATTCTACATTTTAAAATGTTTGTAATAAACCATATTCAACCCACGACGTATGCAGCTTATGTAAACGGATCATAAATTGCGTAATCGTAATCATGATGATTTTTGATACCATGGCGAACGAAAGATTTCAATTTATCACACTCTACAATTAGTTTTGGGTTCTGAAATGTGTACAAATTGGGACGAGAGTGTTCCCATTTGTTGATTGACAAAATGAGTTCATTCTTGCTTTCAGAATTTGATTAAAAGTTGAAAATAGTGTCCGGCATAAGCAAGTGGACGGACACAAGCGTTGAGTTGTGCTGTCTGGTTTGATGATAATTGAAATGGACATTTCCAAAGAGGGTTTTAGGAGTAAATATCAGTGGAAATTATTAAATAGAGTGACCAGCAATATCTGTATTGCCGACTTTCACTTAAACATCTTCATTTGCATATTCCAGTTTTCATTTTATGAACAATTTTAGAATAGACTTTCATAATTCTGCTTAATTTAGTAGTTGGACTAGAATATTCCGACATCCATTTTGCCATACCAGAAAGAGCAATTAAACAGCGGAAGAGCAATGACGCTGTGCATTTAGCATGAAGGTTTTTACTTTGTCTCACTCGAGCAGTAAAATATGACGAAATGGCAAAGTCATCATAATAAGCTGGGGAAAAGCAGCTGGTCTTCTGTTCCCCTCGCACAATAAATATGTGCTCCCCAATTATTGCTACTTTCGGTGGAGGAGTAAATTTGGAACCTCGTCGGCGTCCTTCCTTTTTTCTCTCGCTTTTCATACTTCATCAATTCAATCCCTGGCAAACCCTCGGAATCGAGTTGAATATATGAACAGCGCACATTTTATAATAAATACTACGAATTTAGAACATCTCGGGTTCACCTGGTCTCACTCTGATGAATGGCGAATCGTCAATTTTTTTGCCCCATAAAGTCACAACTATGTAGGTCCTAAACATGGAAACATTGTAAGCAAAATATGAACCTGAAATATTCAGAGATTGGGTGATGTCCACCCGCATTAAGAATTTGTGAGGTACGCACATCCAAAATATGTATGAAGTAATAAAACACGAAATATCTGCTTTGACAAGATGGGATAAACAAGGAGAAAATAAAATTTGCATGCTGCCACCTTCGACCAAGCTATTCTTATCCATCCAGTCGGCTAAATTAAACACGAACAAAGTCGTAATAACGCTCAAAAACTTTTCACATTGTGTCACCCTCCCGAAAGTGAGGAAAACGTGTCGGAAAATGAAAATACCACTTTCACCTGCAGCGAATTATTTAGTAAACAATAGAAAACAGTGTCATTGTCAATGTCGCCTTTAAGAAGAAGGACCGGCTGCCTCTTAGCACCAAACTTTCACCCCATCACTACTACTCCCAACCAGAGACAAGTTCTTTGAAGTCTTGGTGTCGAGATCCCTGGTCGTTGTTGTCATAATTAGTGCAGTATAAAGTATGTCCGGCTAATTTCAGGCGCAAGTGGTGTCGCATGGCTGGTGACAATTCATATCTCCCCCACCAAACAAACAACAGCTCCCTTTCCGTCATCCACTTTTAATTTCATTCAGAGCGAGATTACACACAAGTTTGTCCTCTCACACAGCGTCTTGTTTTGTCATTTGAGGAAACGACTGACTTTGCTTTCGTCGTCGCAAAGCTGAATAAGCGTAATTTGCTCGTTACACAAAGAAGCCCAATTTGTGTCTGACTTGTTGAGGACGACTTTATATTTTCTCATCAAATATTATGATCTGCCACCGACACATTTTTGAATACATATCTCTCTTCTCTTGGTGAGTGCTAAATAAAAAGTTGAAATTATTTGTGCGAAGGCTGACAGAAATGCTGATGCCAAGGTTTCAAAGGGAAAACGAGGCTGATGGAAATGAGTCGTACGTAGTTGAGAAAATGTATAAACATAAAAGCGAGACAGGAAATGGAATGTCGCAAAGACTGCTAATGAGAACGGATTGTTGTTGCTTGGTCGTGGACGCTGTCATTCTTAGTGGCACTTTGCAGTAAAAGGTGGTCCTTTCCCTCGTGTCGTTGTGTGGTGGCCATATATTAGAGAAGGCTAATTCCCTTCGTTCTCCTCGTTGTCACGTTTCTGCAAAAGGTTTAATCTAATTTGCTAACCTAACCCTGCGCTGATTTC